GTTTTCGATGTACTTAACCAATTGCACCATTTTTTCACAATCATCCGCCATTTTATATGTAAGTTAAGTTTCAAGTTTGTATAGGTAAATATATTTTTAAAAAATACCAAAAATTATGTTCTGTGTTATTACTCTTATTAGGTAGTTTGAAGTTTGATACAATGATTACAATTGATAACGTATAACAAGTATTAATAACTTAAACAATGTAATATCGATAATTGTTTATATTTTGACTTTTCACCGCACGTGAACTTCAAGAAAAACCGCCATGTCTCACCGCAAGAAGCGCGCCGCATATACAACGTCACTGCACCACCGCCGCACTGCATCGGTATGGGCATTCCCATAAGATAGTGTGTGTTCTATTTTAAATGTGGCACTGCATGCAATGCACCGCGAAAGTGCCGCAACCGCGCTGCATTGGTGTGCACCGGGCCTGAGAGATACTCGGAATACTCTATTTGAGAGAATGTTATCTATTAGTCGTACCGTTGTTCTGCATTTTAATATTTTCGCTAGTTTTAGGATAAGACCTCTCTTCTAGACTATATCATACGCAGAAGAAAGGTCTAGGAAAACCGCGCCGGACTTTTGTTGTTTTTGGAACCCGTTTTATATATGGGTGGCTAAAGCTAATGCTTGATCGAGGCAATTTATGTTTTTCCTTAAACCAGTTTGTTCAATGGGCAAGCATGCTTCAATCATCGGTTGTAATCGTACTAAGATCATTCTTTCGAAGAGTTTGTATGTTGATGATAGCAGAGATATTGGTCTATAATTTTTGGGATCGGTGGGTTCTTTATTAGCTTTAAGATGGCTATAAATTTGGTTTCGCGTCAGGACTGGGATTTTATTCGATTTTACTATGTTTGTAGCAAGTATTGCAATTCATTTAATGCTTCTGGGTCCAGGGTTTTTTAGAAACTCTGGAAGTACTCCATTCGTTCCAGCTGCTTTACCATTTTTGACTAGGGCGATTAGGACTTCCTCTCCAATAAAGTCTGTCACGAGTGCTGTCTTTTCTTCGCATAGGTTTAGTAGTTCTGAAAGTTCTTTTCTCGCTTCTATTTTTTCGATCTTTTGGGGTTTAATGTTAAACAGTAGGTTAGCTATATCGCTGGCTGCAACACTCTCAACTTTCCTTGATGGCTGCGCGGCTCCTAGTTTTCTTAATAGGGCCCAGCTTTTCCTGCTCGGGTGGGTGTAATCTATCTCCTCCACTACGGAAATCCACCTATTCCTTCTTTCCTCTTTTAATAGGGCCATTAAACGATTCGCAAATACCTCACTTCCCGATTGCTCGTATTCATGTAATAATAACTCGCGTTCCTTATTCCAGCACGGTAAATAATTCTGCCTATGTCCTCTTGGTATGGCTGTGGTAGCAGCTTTCTTGATTAATTTTACGAATCTGAGGTAATTTTCTGGGATAGGCGGGATTCGGTTGATATTCTCTTCCGTGTATTTATTTAGTGTATTCTGGCCATCACGCCTTCCGAAGATTCCATCTAGGTATTGTAGGCTTATTTATTTGTGGGAGGCTAATCTCTGTGTCTATAACAATTGGTTTATGTTGGCTCTTTGGGAACTTTTGAAGGATGGTACGGAAAATTCTTATAGATTGGTCGTTCTTATCTATTGATATAAAACATAGGTCCGGGGAGGTAATCGTGCCCCACCTACCTGACTCGAATGTGCCGCCTTGCTTCGCATTATATACTAAGTGCAAACGATTAACAGCTGCCCAGTTAGTAAGTATTCCCCCATCTTCATTCTCGTTTGGGTAGCCTCATTCGATGCTGTGTAAATTAAAGTCACCTATATAGATCATTGGACATTGTTGAACTAGAAGCACTGAATCAGACCACCTTTCCGAGGGAGGTTTATATACGTTGTAAATTATAAGATTTCCAATGCGTATGCCAATTGAATGTGCATTTCCAGCTATGGAACCACGTTTGTCTCTTCTATGTTTTGGTTAACTTATGTTGCCAGCCCGTGTTTGCGATGTCCTATATAGTTGATCATATTGAAACCAGGGATTTTCAGACGATTGTTCTCGCCTTCCGGCACATGGGTCTCTCGTAGTGCAAGCACGTCTGTGTCTTTGAGCGTTTTACTTAGGATTTCGGATTTGGCTCTTGTTAAGCCTTTGATGTTCAGGTGGACAACTCTTATACTTTTTTGAGATTCCTTTTTACTTGGGTAGGATGGATCTACACTGTTTATGTTGTGTGTTTTTTTATAGGTTTTGTTTTTATTTTTATTTTGTTTTTTGTGGGGTTTTTTGTTATACTTTGTTTAGCACGAGCGCGCGTAAGTCAAAAGAGCCCCGAAAAGGGCTGTTTTTGCCAAAAAGGCCAGAAGGTCCAATGACGTCTGGCTGTCGGTGTGATGCTATTTGGTTTCGTACATTTATTGTTAAAGAAAAATTCGCAGTTCAGATTCTTTGAAAAATTTGAAAACATACTACTCACCGGGGAGACCACGTGAAGGTATAGCATCTCCTCCCCGATGAATATACATGATATAAATTTTAATTTACTTTAGGTGACACAAATAATTTTAATTAAACCACAAAACCTCAATAATTAATTAAACTTAATTGACGTTTAATTAAATCGCACTGACCGAAGATAGTTATAAACACTTGTAATTCTTTTTTTTTTTATTTTTTTAACTTACAAGGGAAATATTTAAAGAACAAAAAATAATAGTTTTCAAATAATAGTCAAACACTGAAACTAATTACTTACCGGTGGTATAGATGTTATTATTGCTTAACGATCCGTTTGTAGACTGGCCAGGTTCTAATAGTCTAATACTTCATTAGTGAATAGCTTTAATCATAATATAGGAATTATATTAATATTATATTTAATAATATTCATCTTTATGACGCCTCATAATATTATTTTATAACAAATTATATATACTTATAACGTAATATTTTTATCTGATCTAGGTAATAATTCGAGCGTATGTAATTTGCGCCAAAAACAATCCCCCTCAAAAAAAAAAAAATATATATATGTAATTTGTGCCATATCTAAAAATTAATTTTGGTAATTTGCGCCACACAAAACTAAATAAAAGGGCATTAAGTAATCTGCGCCATCGTGTACCTACAAAAAATGTAATTTGCGCCATTTATCACCTTATTAAAATTGTAATTTGCGTTACTTTAAGATTACTAAATCATTTTTTCCAAACAGATTAACATATTGTATTCTTAACCATTCCATTGGCCAATCAAGTTCAATTTAATAGAAAATCGCTTATAGCCTTTTACATTTCTTCCATTATTTTTGGTAATGGCACCATTTTCTACGGGCGTTTTACATATTTCGTTGTACTAATGATATATCATCGGTAGTAATGGTTTGTAAAAATGTCCAGAAATTTCTGTTCGTAATATCTTACTTGGTTTAGTATACAGATTTTCCATAGCTTTTCTCTTACATACATTTTAATATATTTTTCTGTGTATACTTGGTTAATCATGCCCGTTGTGTTCATTTAAAATTTTAACTATTTGTACAATATTTTCTGAAGATGTGTACACTTTTGAAGTGCAAGTTCTGACAATACAACGCCATCGTATTGAACAATATTTAGATTCATAAACTTTTCGATACGTAACATTTTTAAATAATAATAAATCTTTTTTTTAGTACTTTTAATAATTTCACCGATATTTATATCCATTACTTATACTTTTATATAATTTTGAAATGTGAAAAATGAAATATGAACGCACACGCGATTAATATCGGACTAATGGTAAATATCAATATACTGCTGTTCAATATTATTCAATATTATGAAAATTGATAATTTTTATTATATTATATCATATTATATTAGACGTACCAATTCGATATCGCCTCTACTCATTATTATTAGTAGAACACAATAATATATCCGGCATGCATTGGTATTATTGTATTTCGATGTGTTATCCAGTGGCGTGCGGTCAGGACAAGCTAGGTAAGCGGCGCATGCTCAGCCAAAAAGAAAAAAAGAAAAAGATTAATATTTCTGATGTTAAATGACAATTTGTTTACATTAAAATTACAAATATTTATCAATTCTTATTTTTGTGTTCAATTTAAAAAAAATTTATCAGATTTTGAATTAAATTTTTTTTTTCGTATAGGCAATTTCTCTACAGAAGCGCTAGTATTTTAGATTGCCTTTCCTATATCGTTATTTATAGGAATGACTAGTTGTGGTAGAAGGGGATATACGCGTTTTTACGTGATGGTTGAAAGCGCTATGCCGAGCGCTTATCGATATTTTTAAAAACGGAATTCTAATATTCTTACGATACATATCGGATTATTTTTGTTATCAATATACTTATTATAAGTTTTGACTATACTATATTATACTATACTATACTAATAATAAATATATTATTTTGTCGTCAACCGTCAACGTGTCCACAAGTCTTCATAGTTAATTTGGTGTTGAACAAAAATTTTTAATGTGAGTATATTAAATTCCTATTGCATAATTTTATAGAATTGGTATAGATAATTATTATTTAAATAAATAAAATTATTATAATTAAGAGGAATCAAATTATATTCGCCTTGTTTATATTTGTTTTTATAGACAATGAATACTGATTCAAACAATTGCTTAATCGAGCATCTTTTGGAAAATGAATTTCATTTAAAAAATTTTGATGAAAAATTAACAATTGTAAAAAATGGTCGACCATGTCCAGAAATTATAAAAATTGACATCTAATCACAAAGAAAAAAACAAAGTTTACATTCGTCATTTTAATATTTCTAATTATTTAAATACTCCATGGTTGACTGGTAGTGCAAAATTAAATAAACTTTTCTGTTGGCCTTGTGTTTTATTTACCAGGGAAAAAAAATGTTTGGTCTCATAGTAATTTTGTTAATTTAAATAATTTAACAAATGGTATTCAAAAACATGAACGATCTCAAACACATATTTCTTCTGTTTTAAAATTAAAAATGTTTGGAAAATCTAGAATTGATTTGCAGCTTGATGAACAAAGACGTTCAGATGTAATACGCCATAATGAATTGGTAAAAAAAAATAGAGACGTTTTAAAACGTTTTATTGATTGTGTTTGTTTTTTGGCGATCTACGAATTACCATTTCGTGGTCACAATGAAAGAGTTAATTCTTTCAATCAAGGAAATTTCCTCGGTTGTTTAAATTTATTATCATCTTATGATTCTATTTTAAACTTGCATTTAGAAACATCAAAAATATTCCGTGGTACATCCAATAGAATTCAAAATGATCTTATTTGCTCAGTTAGCAACATCATATCAACGTCCATTGAATCAGAAATAAAAAAATACTAATTTTGTTGCAATATTATTAGATGAAACTTCAGACATAACAAATCTGTCTCAATTATCAACAACTTTAAGGTATGTTCATCAAGAAACCGGGGAAGCACATGAACGTTTTATCTCATTTGTCGATGTTAATGCTGATAGATCAGCAGATGGTTTATTGAAACACGTAATTGATATAGTTAATAGGTATGAATTAAAACATAAATTAGTAGCTCAAACTTACGACGGAGCGGCCGTTATGAGTGGTCATGTTGGAGGACTACAAGTTAAAGTAAAGGAGCTCTACCCAAAAGCATTATTTGTCCATTGTCTTAGCCATTCATTAAATCTTGTACTTTCACAATCAGCATCAAATATAAAAGACTGTAAGATTTTTTTTCAAACACTAACTGGTATGGGATCATTTTTTACTAAATCTTCTAAACGTACACATGCTTTATCTAATTTTACAAGAAAAAAAATGCCAAAAAATGTGCCGACTAGATGGAATTTTTCTTTTCGCTTAGTAAATACAGTTCACGAATATAATTCATATTTCATAGAGTTTTATCAACACGTATTAGATAATTCTAATGATTGGGATAATGAAGCGATAGTATTATCTCAAGGGTTCATCAATTCTTTAGATAGTCGACAAACATACTTTTTGCTAATAGTATTTAGTAAAATATTTAGTTTGACTGATATTTTATATGAAGTATTACAAACTAAACGTTTAGATATTTTATACTGTGTGAAAAAAATTGAAGAAACTAAATGTCAACTGCAAAATTATAGGTTAAATCTATTTGAAAAATTATGGGAAACAGTTTTATCAGATAAAGGCGATTTTGAACTACAGCGTAAAATTCGTGACCCAAAAACATTTTACAAAGTACTTTTTAATGAAATATTTGATAACATATTGACAAATTTGCAAGCGCGATTTGGTTCTTTAAATAAATTTGAATTTTTATCATTAATTGACCCAAGTAAATATTCAAACTACACAAACGAATTTCCAAATTCTGCTCTAGAAAACTTGCAAGAATCAAATTTTGGAGAAATATTTGATTTTATTAGATTACGAAATGAATTAATTGTATTATACAAATCTGAAGAATTTTTAAATACTAATCCATATGATTTAGTCAAAAAAATTAAGATGAATGATTTAATATCGGCGTTCCAAGAAGTATTTAAACTCAGTCAACTAATTTTAACTATTCCCAGTACAACAGCTTCAGTTAAACGTTCTTTTTCGGCATTAAAACGTATCAAATCGTATCAAAGATCTACACAAGGGCAAGAAAGACAAGTTCATTATCATTAATTTCAATCGAAAAGGAACTCCTGCACAAAGAAAAAAATCATCCAGAATTTTATGATAAAGTTATTAACGAATTTATAAAACAAGAAAGACGAATAGATTTTGTTTATAAATAAATTTTAGATTGTAATTTTTATTTTTTATTAATAAAATACCTTTTTTTGTTTTAACTTGAAATTTTATTTTAGCGCTTACCCAACATAAAATATCACCGCATGCCACTGGTATTATCAGTAAATTTATCTGCTGGTAAATATTCCAACCAAAAATGTGGCGCAGATTACATATTCCATTTTGTTTTCTGTTGTAGCGCAAAGTCCAAAATTAATTTTTAGATGTGGTGCAAAATACATATTTAATTTTTATATTTTGGCGCAAATTACATACGCGCTTAAATGTACCTATTGGTGGCGCGAAATACCATCTCCCAATAATTCATAATATATCTAGGTAAAAATTAATTTGAAATATATAGTAATACAAAAATGTAAAAAATAATAAGATTGCAGTCAAGATATAATTTATAGTATATTTTTATGTAAGTTAAAAAAATGTAAACTGTATACACAAAGAAATTTATTATTATTCATTTAAATATTCGATTAATTAATATTTTCTTATTGTTTTAAATATTTTATTTAAAACCCGTGGATCGAATATTTAAAGAAAAATACATAATATCGCTCAGGAATCATGATCCACAATTTTTAAATACGATCACTCTAATGTACGTTATAATTCAACAATTTTTATGTTGATTATTTTTCTCTTTCGTACACAAAAAGATAAACAGGTTAAGCTGTACAATCAATTGTGTTCTACTGTTATAGATAAGCGAGTTAGATACCAAAAAAAATAAACTTCAAATTTTGGGAGATATGCGTAATGAAAAGTTAAAGCAGGACGAAAAAGAAGAAGAAGAAAGACAGATGAACATAATAAGTTTAAAATTAGAAGAAAGGCGACAGTTATTGGATTTGTCGAAAAAAGAAGTGGAAAATATCAAGTTCAAGATACCATACTACAAAAATCTTTTCGAAGAAGCTTTTTGCATAAATAATAGGATAGCTGATTACACGAAAAGTAATTTGCGTTGCTGTAAGAAAACAAATTAATTATTTTTTCCTTTTTTTTTTTTTTTTTATGAAAATAGTGGTGTCAGATCTTTTCCGGAATATAATGATTGATAACCACGGGAAAACTATGGAAAGATTAATACAAGAAGAAGAGGAATTGTCGTCCAACTACGTGAGGTTTTTCACTTATAAATTAAAAAGAATAATAACATAATTATAAGAATAAATAGCGCGAAACAGAAGATGATATCGAGAAAGCGTATAAGATATGAACTGGATGAAGGATGGTTGGGTATGAATAATTGGGAAAATGGAGGGCGATGTGGAAAGGCAGGGATTTGGAAGTACTAAAAAAGAAATACAATGTAATATAGCCTATAGGTGTTTGTCAAAACTTCGGTTTACATAAAAAATATGAGCACCAATAAAGAGTTTAGAATTTAAATTGGCAACGTTCGATTTGATTCACTGTGACACTGGATCGGTGCACGTAATGTTTTCGTTAGTCGGTGCTCGTAATGATAAAATATACGAGCACTATGTATTGCAATACTATTCGATAGAATTATAGTTATATATTATAGTTATACAATTATAGTTATATATTATGCTCAGGCATTAAAGGTCGAGGAAATTTTCAGAAAGACGAAATATACTACTACTACTACTACTACTACTACTACTACTACTACTACAATAGTCAGCGTGGTTGTTGTAAATTAAAATATTGATTTGCAAATTAATTTGCAGTGCGTAAATCGAATGCGATAAGAATAAGCGTACATAGTGTTATACATCTGATCAGACTGTCACATTTATCTTCGAAACACATTCTACACAATTGCTCGATTCACATCGGCAATCTCTACGTGATTTTTTTCGTATTAATCATTTAAGTATTACGGTATTCTTTCGTTTGACACCACTCAATGGCATGTATTATTATTTCGTTTTAAGACAAATGGCCGATTATAGGTATACCGTTCATTTCCATTGGTTGCAATAACTAAATGTGTTATCGCCTCTTTGGTCCACGTACGGTTTACTTATCGCTCCCTTATGTGTGGTTTTAGATATATGGTCACATTTAAGGAGGAATGTTTACAAGGTATAATATACATTGATACAATATATAACAGAAGATACCCAAATAAAATATTAGCTATCCATTTTATAAATTGGTTAACAATACTAAAATGTACTAAAATATATAAATCGTCTGTAAGATACATTTTATTCGAATGATTTTTAATTATTATTTATTATATTTACCAAACACTTCGTTTATTCCTCTAATAACTTAATTGCAAGTTCCTTCTTAAAAATCTGTAATAGTTGTTTATAACTAGCTTAACAGAGTTTGCGTTTCAATATTTTCCTAAATTCCATCTTGTGCCATCAGGGGCGGACTGGGTATCGAGGAGCGGAGGGCTTGGGGGTGATCAATTGTACCTATTATTATTACATTTTAATTAATAAATATTTTTAGTTATTTATGTTCAATTCATCCAAATTCAGATAATCTAATAATAAATGATTGGTGTTTTACCATTATATTAATGTTATATTTTGTATACGGGTAATTAATATGACATTATCGAGGGCCCAAGGGGGGCCCCTTGCCTCCCTGGCCAGTCTACCTCTATGTGTCATTGAATCTAACCATTGATCTATGCTTTATGTGCAGTTTAGTTTGAATCTCGATGAATTTTCGATTTTTCGACTAATGAGAACTATATATATATATATACAAATAAATCATAGATAGGTTTAATTATAGATTACAAAACCAATGATATTAATGTTGATTGTTGATGAAAATCGTACATTTATGAGATATCGATAAAAAAGATATTCTACATCAATCATTTTTTACAAATAAATGTTTGACACCTTTGTTTAAAAATGTTTGATTATTTCCTACAATTGTATATTATAAGTATAAAAGAGGAACTAAACCAACCGAGATCTAGATAACATATCCTTAGAGCTAAAGCCTTTCCCATGACTCGCAATATCTACATATGATAAGCAGCAGTATAAATTATTGAATAATAATTAATCAATGCATTAAACATTTACCGAAGTAATTTATGATTGACGAAACGCCTAAATCTGGACACCACAAAAAGTATACAAATATGCGCTTATAAAGTAGATTTGAAACATTATAACATTTATTTTAAAAAGTATTCATGTGTTTACATAGTTGATAAAAATTATATAATATTTTGTAAACATTTAAAGAACTCAAGCATTTTAAATAACATTAAATCATCTAACATTAAATAGTAATGTTTATTCATATTTTTTCTCTTTATATTATTTTTAAGGTTTTAATTTTCTTAATTTTTTTAAACGAGAATTGTCTGGTCGATAATGACTATAGAATAATACTATTTGCAGTAAGTTCTTTAAATATGCGGAGATAAGAGAGATTATTGACACTAAATTTGATATAGAATTTAAAAGAGTGTCGGGGATTTTATGTTCCGTGTGTGTATTGATTTTTGGAGGCTTCTGAGTAAGATTTGGTTTTAGAATGGGTATTGAAATCAATGCCCTTGACTGGAAGACTCTTGGAACAGTTTTCTCTTAAGGCTCTTTTGTAAAATAGGTATCTTTTGAATTTAACAGTGTTCTTAGTCCTTAGCGCAAAGGGTACATTTAACGCGATAGCGAAACTTTGGAGATTTCTGGAGCACTTGTAAGCGGGGTTTTAACCACAATTAACGCATCTAGGTTTGTGGTGACAATAATTCAGCGTATGTCCGTAGGATTGACAGTTGTGATATTGTGGGTAAGCCTCGTCTCTTCTTATGTGGTTTCTCAATCGATACTTTAGTATTGAGTAGCTACGTGATGTCGAAAATTTTCTTGATATTGACTTGTGTTAAAATATCCGCAATAAAGTAAGTAGAATATTATTTTTGTTTTTGACCTTATAAATACATATAATATTAAATTTATATATCTATATATATTTAACCAAGTACCCCAATTAGGCTAGAGCACCAGCAATATTATTTTTTCAAATAGAAAAGTGTATATTTTTCTAATGACAATCCTATATATGTGAAAGTGACGGGGAATACAAATAAACATTAGTTTCATATAATTGATCAATAATTTTATTCAAATTAGGCGATAAGTATGATAAGGTATGACGGGGCATTGACCTACAGGTAAAGCCATTCGAGTTGGTGAGGTTAACTGAGATCGTATTGAAAGCAGAGTAGTTTAAAATGTTTTTGATAAAGATAAGTGAAAACGGAGGCCCTATGTCACAATATGTGCGAGATGAGTTCACCGGATCTTCCTTTAGGTTCCTTTACTATGTCATCGATGTCATCAGTTATATTTAGTTATTTTATATGATTTTTTTAACAACAGAGGAATTTAAATGTAGTCTTGAAATTATAAATTGATTTATTTTTAAATTATCAAAAAAAAAAAAAAAAAAACATACAGAGGAAATTAAGGCTGTATTTATAAAATGGGGTACAGAAGTATGTTTGTTAAAAAAAAAAAAAAAAATTATATAATTTAAAGTGTCACAACTGAAAAGTCAATAATTTCAAAGGCAAATAATTTAAATATTACAATATTATTTAATTAAAATTATCTGCATCACTCATCCAGTCGTAAATTTTGATGGCATTACTTAGTCAGAGTTATGAACTTATTAATAATTGATACGATTTTACATTCACTACACATTGTCTGTGAACGTCTAAGAATTTTTGACATTTACTCGTATTAATATTAGGAATCAACATCATTGGCTAGGAATTAATATTATTGTCAAAATTTCACTATTGTTAGTACCATATATATATATATGAATATTTCATTTTATAATTATTTAGGATGTTTCAATGTGAAATGAACACACTGATGTTACTATAATTAATTTGTATAGATTCAGGTAATTCCAACTAATTAATTAAATTAGCGGAATGTCAAAATGCTTTTCTCGACTTAGTTGACCGTTGTAAATATGACTCTCTAACCAATTTTGAAATTTTGTCGATGTAATTTTTAACACGAAAATTTTTTTTTAAATATAAAGAGCTCAAACTAGAGATTTATTAAAATTCTTTGGCAATAAACTATCAGCTATAGTTTACGATAGCAATCATAAACAGACACACTTAATAAAGAAATAAAAATATTACACATCTTCGAGATAAATATTATTTTTAACATTAAAGTAAATGGATAAAAGTACTTTTGGTATCTTATAAAGCCATTTTAATTGATATTTTATAATTGGAGTAACTACAATTAATTTTAACTTAAAGAAAGAACAATAAAATATGAAATCATAATTTAAAGAAATTATTCAAACCCAGTGCAGATACTTTTATCCATAATAGGGCTTAATAATGTAGGTTAGAGACGCATAATCTGTAATGAATTTACAGTGTAAGAACACAATTATAGTGTCTTACGATTCTTCATAACTAGAATAATAATTCATATTTAGTATTATGATTTTTTTTTACGATTTTAATTTGTATTAGAACTTAATAAATTAAAAATTAGTGTTCTAATAATGTGTTATTTAATACAATGCTGTTCATTATTATGTATAAATATATAGTTCACTGCTGTCTGTGAAACGACTGGACATAAACCTTTTCGTTATCGAAAAACTAATGATTTTCAAAAATAATTACTAAATATTCAATTGCATTTTAATTAAACTCATAAGACATTAAAATATGTTTCTCATTATTATGAATCCAAAATTATTTTTATTTTATACAATAATATAGATCGTGTTGCCTTATTATAATAATACAAAAAAAAAAATCATTTAAATTCAATAAGTCAATAAACCATTGGTACTAATAACGGTTATAATACTATTATGTTCTAATGTAACAGTGATCATCAAACTATAGGTTAAAACTCAATATCAGGTCACTCAAATTTTAGAATTGGATGTACAATTATATATGTATATAATGATATATGTACACACGATAATACAAGTACATTATTATACTACAAAAATTGTACAGTTATAATTTGTATTTAAAAATATTCAAATTTTTCTTATTTATTTTGATATTATAATTTAAAATATGATATTTACAAAAAAGTAATTTTTCATTTTCAGTTATTTTAGGTTACAGTAGCAAAAAATAACTATGGTTACTAAAGTGAGCGAAAAAACAAAAAAAGGTTCCAAGACTATCGATAGAAAATTTATATTGGAAATGTATAATACAATATAATACATAATAATCATAATCCATTGTTAGACATAATAATAATTAGTTTTAAATATTAAACTATGGAGGCTTTTTTTTATTGTAAAAACACAAAAAGAATGGAAAAAA